TGTGTATTGACTACCGCGCCTTGAACCGGGTTACCATCAAGTCTCCCTATCCTATCCCGCGCGCCGACGAACTCATCGACCAACTTCGCGAAGCCAAATTCTTCTCGAAAATTGACATGCGAGGCAGTTACCACCAAATTCGCGTGAACAAAACTAGCTACTACAAGACGGCGTTTCGGACCCGATACGGTAGTTACGAGTACACGGTTATGCCTTTTGGCTTAACAAACGCGTCTTCGACGTTCCAGTTAACCATGAACGAGGTTTTTCGGCCGCTGCTGGATAAATGCGTCATTGTGTACCTCGACGACATACTGGTCTACAGCACTACCCGGGAGCAACATTTGAAGGATTTGACCGTAGTTTTCTCTCTATTGTAACAGCACCGACTCATCACTAAGGGCTTAAGTGTGAGTTTCTAATACACGATTTGGAGTTTTTGGGCCACGTAATTTCCATCGATGACGTTAAAATCGACCCCAAGAAAATTGCGATGATACAAGACTGGAAGCCGCCGGCTCATCTCCGTGAACTTCAGAGTTTTCTGGGGTCCGACGTTTCATTCCGAACATGGCAGGGCTCACTTCCCCTCTCGCGGATATCCTGAAGTAGGCCAAGTTTTATGAGTGGGGGGGAGAGCAGCAGGCTGCGTTCGAACAGCTCGAAATTTTCCTGAATACACTTCCGGTTCTTCGAATTGCAGATCCTCACCGTCCGTTCAAGCTCAACACCGACACTAGCGATCTGGCCGTTGGCGCAGTATTGTTACAAGGCTTCTGCGAAGGCCTCCAACCCATCGCCTACGAGTCACGAAAGCTGCACCCGGCCGAGCGAAATTATCCTGTCCACGACACAGTCACCTACAAACGGGGGGTTAGCAACATCGCCGAAGCACTGACCCGCCCTTCAGTCCACACCGCCGCCGTCCAAATTACCCAAGCTAATCCGCTGCTAACTGGCCTATTCACCTACGGATACAGCACTGACCCATTCTTCACCACTAACATGCATCCCCAGCTGACGGTCAAGCAAGGGGCCTACTACCTAAAATCCGGTACCAATCAGATTTGGGTTCCCGCCTACCTTACTCTACGAGAACTACTGATCCAGGAGGCACATGACTCGAATTTCTCGGGTCACTACGGCATTAACAAAACCGCCAAATTGCTGAGCCGTAATTATTATTGGCCCGACATGCCAAAGGATGTGCAGCTGTACGTCACCTCCTGCACCACATATCAACGCATGAAGTCTTCCCGGCTTCGACCTGCTGGATTGCTGCAGCCACTCGAGCCACCCAGTCGACCCTGGCAACAAGTGACAATGGATTTCGTCACTGGCCTGCCTGCTGGTCCAAGCGGTAACGACGCGATTCTCATCGTCATTGACCGGTTGACCAAGATGGCCCACTTTTCCGCCTGCAAGACGACAATTACTGCCGAGCAGACAGCGAAACTATTCCTCACGAACATCGTGCGGCTACACGGCTTCCCCTCGGCAATCATCAGCGATCGTGACCCACGGTTCACGTCCAACTTCTGGACAAAAAACAGGCAGCAGTACGGCACACGTCTGCATCTGTCCACGGCGTACCACCCGCAATCGGACGGCCAGACTGAGCGCACCAATCAGACGATGGAGCAGCTGATTCACACGACTTGCACAAACCCGGCCTAATGGGAGGACGCCCTTCCCTTGATCGAGTTTGCGTACAACAAGGCCCCATCGGCCATGACTACTCAGTCCCTGTTCTTCCTTAATTACGGGATAGATTCGACAACCCCTCTGTCGCCCCCGATAGAAAACCCGGCACCAAGATCTCAGCAGTCGTCGAAAATCTCCGACACTCTCAGCAAAAAGCCGCCGATGCCATCCTCAAAGCCAACCAGAGGGCTAAGCATTAAGCTGACCGACAACGCCGAGACTTAACGCTCGCCCCTGGGCAATTGGTCATGCTCGACACCAGAAATTTGGGAATTCCCCTCCCAAATAAACTACGACCAAGATTTTGCGGCCCATTCCGTATCATCCGCATGGTGACACTTGTCACCGCCCAGCTGCAACTGCCGACCGACTGGCGAATCCGTGATTCATTTTACGTCAGTCTCCTGCGACCGTTCGTCCTGAGTACAACTAATCTCGACCGTCAACACATCAATCCTACGGTCAACCCAGTACCCGAGCCAACGATCGAGCCGTCCAAGATTCTCGCTCATCGATTACGAGGTCATCGAGATACAACAGTCGTTGATTCCTTGTACGATGGGTTGATCGCACGACTGACGACGATCTTTGGGTCCCCGCAGCTATGCTCGACGAACACAAAGTCGTCCGGGACTATTTACACCGACGACGTATCTCGGATGTGGATAGTCTCATCCCGGAAGGGGGGGTGGTGTAAGGAAATTCCCTTTTCCTTACTGGGCTCAACTACAGCGCGTACGCCCTCGACTCTCAGAAGTCCAGGCTCGGCCAACTTCTTCGATCCCGAACCATTTCGTGAACCCAAACCTAGACTCGCGGCGCTTCCATGGCTTTCGCGAACCAGACCGCCCCAACCTGTTCGCGTGGTTCTCGGGTAGCTCTGTTCGTGCCTATGCATAGGCCCTTATTTGTATTGACACTCTTGAATCACGACTCCTTTATTACACTACATGTTATTACTCTGATTAATTCATAACATCTACAATGTAAGGAATTACCATTTCCTACTGGGGCTCGCTACAGCAAGTACACGAGGACAGCTCGCGTCCGCAGGCTTGGCCCTCCAGTCACGTGCCAAACCAGCCCCCGCCGACCTATTCGGCCCCAAACTCATCCCGAGTCGCCCCAAACCCATTTTGATCCCGTCACCCTCGGGACTATCGAGCAGGGTTTCAGCTAGAATTTAGGGCTGTCTGAGAATCAGACGGGGTTTCAAAGTTTGGTCTGACCATCAGACGATTTTTTTCAAGGAGTCTGAGTTTTCAGACGAAACTTTTACCCTGGTCTTAAAACCACAAGCTAGAATAGCACACCTGCGGAGCTCTTGAAAATATGTTTTGTTTATGGGCAGATCTTTTGGTACGTTTCCTATCACGAAATCGTATGGGGAGGCGAAATTGTATGTAATGCAAAGTAGCATTGTTATGTTATTGGTGCGCGACTTTGATTTGGCATCAGATGTTCGCCTCATCAAGTTGCGACCGACCGCTCACACAGCTCAGTTTTTTCAAGAGCTCCATGGGTGTGCAATAGGTTTTGAACCCAAGGTTTACCTGGGTCGCATTTCGCGGAACCCATGTGGCTGTTCGGCACACAAGTTGCACAGTTTACCTTCACCTTAGTCGCGAGTCGCGGTCAGGGGGCTTCGTAATGTCAGCCTGAACACGTGCACCGAATACTCCCGAGGTACAATAGGTTTTTTTGTTTCACCAAGTTGGCGAAAAGTTATTTGAATCGCGCGCGCGTTTCCCGCCTCGTCGCACACGCGTCAAATCGGTGCCACTGCGTTTCTATCATTGTTCAGCTGCCCAAAAACGCACCCCGCAAAATCGTACTGGGAACCCGTTTTTTTCAAAAGAACTATTTTCAAGAACGGCGCTCTTGAAGCCCCCCCCCCCATGCTATTTTAGCTCGTGGTTTTAAAATTCAGACACATTTTTTTGCGCAAGAATATTCGTCCCTCATAATTTCGACCTCGATTTGTTCGTTTCCTGCTAAGAGCGTTTTCTTACGAACCTCTTCCCAGGCTACCCAATTCCCAGACTCGATTCTCGCCCGAGAGCGTGCTCAAAGGTTTTCTTGTCAAGCTCACTTCGTTTCAGTATCACATTCTCAACCACTTTGATTCTGGTTGGGTCATAATCGAACTGTAGAGACACGTGCATTATTTGGAATGGTGCGCCTGCGAAGAAGCCTAAAACACGCCCTGAACCTCGTCAGTCTGAACCACGCAGAAGAGCACAAGAGTCATTGCACGGCACTGAAGCGTGCGAGTCTGGGAACGGGCAGGTCTATGCAGAGGCCGTAGGAAAACGCTCTAAAGGCGTGTGTCTTACGGTTCCGCTTCTGGAAGTTCCGGAATTGGCGAAGATTTTGCCTGGGGAGGAGCTCGCGAAGCCCTGTCGAAATGTGCTGCGAAATATGTAACCAGACCTGGTTCCGGAACTTGCTGAGTTCCGGAACAGTAAGACACACGCCTTCGGATTCTGGCAGGAACACTCGCAGGTGGCGTGACGTGTCACGTGCAGGTAGCCCCCTCTCTTTGCCCAGCAATTTCAGGGTTCCTTTCACCCCGCCCCCAGTCCAGTCAAACGACGAAGCAGAAAAAACAGTGTGGAAGCAGGGTAGCAGGGACTTAGTAGGAAAAACCGGGCTACGAGGGGTGTGTGGGGGAATGTATCTTGGAGTTAAGGACTTCGCCGATTTGATTTTGGGTTGGTGTGGTGTGTTGATGAATGACTCTGTTGTGGGAGACTCAACCGAAAAATTGTTGTTGCGAGGGGTGTGTGGAGAAATATCTCTTGTGTGGGGCACTTAGCCGGAAAAACTAGGTATTCTAGGGGTGTGGGGGGAATGTATTTGGCAGTCGAGGACTTCGCCAAAAAAATATCGGTTGTGGGGGGGGGGAGGTGGGGGGGAAGGGATGGGGGGACGAAGAGGAATGTCTCAGAGTCTCAGACGAAAAAATACGCGTTATCTGATTTCTCTGACGAAAGTCTACACCTGGTCTGAACTTTCAAACGGAATCTTGTGGCTTATCTGGGCGATCAGACGAATTAAATTTAGCCCGTCAAAAAATCAGATGAAAGGAAAAAAACAGGACTGATTTTTAGACCATCAGACCGATTTCGTCTGATATCTGAGACCCTGCTATCGAGCCCTTGACTGGTCGAGCCCTCATTTCTATCGACACTCTGTAGTCACGTTCCCCTTATAGAATTCTCCGCTATACTCTTAGTTATAAAACATACAACGTGGGTAGTTCGCTTGGTGAACTTCTTGCACAAACCTTATACAGTACAGTACTATGTTACATATGCACAAACCTATCAGACATTTCGTTTGCTAGCCACCGAACTATTTCTGACTCTACCGACATTCCCCGGATCCATGCATTTGTCCACGTGTTCAGAAATAGCACTGTATGTGCCACTCCTGTCGGAACAAATGCAGCTACAGTATCTACGCTACCTATAATGCTCTCCAGCTCATCATAAAGAACGGATGCTGCACCAAATAGTGCATCTCTCTCACCCGCTGTACAGTAATTGCTCTTCCATACTATACTGCTCCATTCCTTTCTCCGTATAATCCCTGTAACGTCCGTAGCCGTCCTCAAAACTTCAGCCAAGCACGAATACGCGTAGGTACTGTTCCACGGTAACAGCCCGCCGATCTGGCTGGCCGTGATGTCGAAGAACGTGTGGAATAGAAATATAGGCGTTGTAACACCTTGCAGAGTGTACTGTGGGAAGAAGCACTCCCAACGGTCAGTCTCTGGTAGGGCTGGGGGGATCAAAGGGGGAAGGGTTGGGGAGAGGGGGGAATAATGGGGAGGAATGAGAGGGAACTGGGGGACACCTGCAATTCTGAAAAAAAGGGGGTGGAGGAAGGGGGTGTGTTGGATGATGCAGGATCAACTTGGCGACCCATCTGAAATAACTGCTCACAGTGTATTTTAAAAGAACATTTTACGATGCGTGATAAAGGTGTGTCTCACCATCCATGCAAGCTGGCCAGCTCGGCTTGTGCAGAGCAACAAGGCTCTTTGCTGCATTTCGCCACGAGTACCCCCCTGCTCGGTCCTTGGAGTCTGACAATGGTTGGTGGGTGGGGAGGGGGGGGGGAGGGTGACGAGGGAAAGAGGAGATGGGTGTTTGCGCCATGTGTACACGACCCCTGCTCGATCCTTGGAGTCTGGAGGGGAGATTGGTGAATTTAAAGCCAACGGTGGGAACGATTCGAGAGATCTCTGGCAGGTGAAAGGAGAGATGACTCTTGACTCTTCTGAAAACAAAAAACCGCTAAAAAAAAGGGGAATGAAAAAAGAGAGCATAGGCACTTTCAAAACACTCACGAAGGAAGTCAGTACACTCACCAGAAAGAGGGCACCATCTCATGGCTAGACTCACCAATAAAGAAGCCCGAGTCAGCAATGCACTTGGTTGCCAATGCACTCACCTATGAAGAAACCCGAGTCAGCGATGCACTTGGTGGGCGCCCAGGGGAGGGCAGCGGCGATACGATCGCAGAGAGATATGACAGCCTGGCCGCCCGCTGAGCTGCCCGAGAGGAGGATCTGCGCTGCAGATTTGATCCCACGATTCGCCTTCAGATCTGATTGCGTTTGGTGAGGGGGGGACGGAGGAACAGAGAGGGACAGAGAGGGACGGAGAGGGATGGAGAGGGATGGAGAGGGATGGAGAGGGATGGAGAGGGACGGAGAGGGATGGAGAGGGATGGAGAGGGATGGAGAGGGAGTAAAGAAGCTGGAAAGGAGGGTTTGAGGAGGAAGGAGGGGGAGGGGGTGAGGGAAAAGCCAAAGTCCTTTCCCTCGCTTGGCCTGCCCCACAAACCCTTCTCACAGCCTTCTCACACGCCTTCTCACACGCCTTCTCACATGCCTTCTCACACGCCTTCTCACACGCCTTCTCACACGCCTTCTCACACGCCTTCTCACACGCCTTCTCACACGCCTTCTCACACGCCTTCTCACACGCCTTCTCACACGCCTTCTCACACGCCTTCTCATACCCTGTATCACTGCTTGAATGTCACTTCACCCATCGCAGTGTGTGAGACGAGACGAGGTTCCTTCCCCACCCCACTTACTCCCAACCGCTCACCTACAATCACTGCCCGAATGATGTTCCACCCATCCAGGTAAAGAACAGTGCAACCACTGTTGCCCCACTTACTCCCATCCCCCCACTCACATTCTGCTCCCCACTCGCCCTCTGCCCCCCACTCGCCCTCTGCCCCCCACTCGCCCTCTGCCCCCCACTCGCCCTCTGCCCCCCACTCGCCCTCTGCCCCCCACTTGCCGTCTATCACCGCCCGAAAGATGCTCCACCCTTCCAGGGTTAGAGCAGTATCGCTGCTGACCTCAAGTCTCCCATGTAGGGCCCCCCCATGTAGGCCCCCCTATGTAGGCCCCCCCCATGTAGGCCCCCCCTATGTAGGCCCCCCCTATGTAGGCCCCCCCATGTAGGCCCCCCCCCATGTAGGCCCCCCCCATGTAGCTCCCCCCCATGTAGGTCCCCCCCATGTAGGCCCCCCCCATGTAGGCCCCCCCCATGTAGCCCCCCCCCCATGTAGGCCTCCCCCATGTAGCCCCCCCCCCCCATGTAGCCCCCCCCCCATGTAGGCCCCCCCCATGTAGGCCTCCCCCATGTAGCCCCCCCCCCCATGTAGGCCTCCCCCGCTGTTGTATGTCATACGGAAGAGGTCCCTTCACTCACATTCACTCGCACCCACTCACCCTCCATCACCGCTTGAACGATGCTCCACCCACCCTCTATCACCGCTTGAACGATGCTCCACCCACCCTCTATCACCGCTTGAACGATGCTCCACCCACCCTCTATCACCGCTTGAACGATGCTCCACCCACCCTCTATCACCGCTTGAACGATGCTCCACCCACCCTCTATCACCGCTTGAACGATGCTCCAACCACCCTCTATCACCGCTTGAACGATGCTCCACCCATCCTCTATCACCGCTTGAACGATGCTCCACCCACCCTCTATCACCGCTTGAACGATGCTCCACCCATCCCTGTAAAGAGCAGTGTCAGCATCCACCTCCAGCCTCCCCGCTGTGTGCACACATCGCCCATTGCAACATGCTTTCCCCACACTCGCCCTTGATTACCGCTTGCATAATGTCCCCCCCCCACACAGACACCCTCTATCACCGCTTGAATGATGTTCCACCCATCCAGGTACAGCACAGTGTTGCTCAGACGAACCAAGTCCCTTTCTCACTCACCCCCCATCCACACACTCATCTTCTGCCGGCCACTCAACCGCTATCACCGCTTGAATGATGTTCCACCCATCCAGGTACAGCACAGTATCATCGTTGACCTCCACTCTCCCCGCTGTCCGCATAGCCCGTGCGACATGCTTCCCTCCCCCCACCACCCTCACTCACCCGCTATCACCGCTTGAATGATGTTCCACCCATCCAGGTACAGCACAGTATCATCGTTGACCTCCACTCTCCCCGCTGTCCGCATAGCCCGTGCGACATGCTTCCCTCCCCCCACCACCCTCACTCACCCGCTATCACCGCTTGAATGATGTTCCACCCATCCAGGTACAGCACAGTATCATCGTTGACCTCCACTCTCCCCGCTGTCCGCATAGCCCGTGCGACATGCTTCCCTCCCCCCACCACCCTCACTCACCCGCTATCACCGCTTGAATGATGTTCCACCCATCCAGGTACAGCACAGTATCATCGTTGACCTCCACTCTCCCCGCTGTCCGCATAGCCCGTGCGACATGCTTCCCTCCCCCCACCACCCTCACTCACCCGCTATCACCGCTTGAATGATGTTCCACCCATCCAGGTACAGCACAGTATCATCGTTGACCTCCACTCTCCCCGCTGTCCGCATAGCCCGTGCGACATGCTTCCCTCCCCCCACCACCCTCACTCACCCGCTATCACCGCTTGAATGATGTTCCACCCATCCAGGTACAGCACAGTATCATCGTTGACCTCCACTCTCCCCGCTGTCCGCATAGCCCGTGCGACATGCTTCCCTCCCCCCACCACCCTCACTCACCCGCTATCACCGCTTGAATGATGTTCCACCCATCCAGGTAGAGCACTGTGGCAGCATTCACCTCCAGTCGCCCTGCCGTGCCCGAGTACCCCGCCCCGTCGCAGTAGATGAGGCGGACGAGGTTCCAGTTGTGGAAGGGCGGGTTGATGCTGCTGTTGCTGCTGAGAATGCCGTTAAAGGGGGGCGAGAGGGTCTGGGGGGTTAGGGTCGGTGGGGAGGAAAAGAAGGCAAAACGGGGGACGGCAAGGGGGGAGGGGGGAATAAAGGGTTGGAGCAGAAGGGCGGGTTGATGCTGTTGTTGCTGCTGAGCATGCCGTTGAAGGGGGGGGTGAGGGTCTGGGGGGTTGGGAGGGGGAAAGGTGGAGAGGGATAGGAGGGACGTGGGGAGAGGGGGAGACGGGGAGAGAGGTTGATGCTGCTGCTGCTGCAGAATGGCAGTGAAGGGGAGGCCATGGTCTGCGAGGGGGGCCAGGGGAGAGAAGGGGCCAGTGGGTGGGGGGCAGGGAGAGCGGGGGGGAAGTGGGGGGAGGGAGGAGGTGGAGAGGGGAGAGGAAGGAACCAGAAGTCACCTAGAATGCCATTGAAAGGGGGCGTGAGGGTCTTGGGGGGGGCGGGGGAGAGAAGGGCCCAGTGGGTGGGGGCCACCAGGGGGGGGGTAAAGATGGAGAGGGGAGAGGACGGGCGGACTGACGCTGCTGTTGCTGCTGAGAATGCCGTTGAAAGGGGAGCGAGGATCTGGGGTCGATAGGGGGCTTGGGGAAGGGAAAGAAGGCGAAAGCGGCAGGAAGGCGGGGTGTGTGGGAGGGGAAGAGCGTTGGAGGGGAAAGAAGGGGCAAGAAGGGGCAAGAAGGGGCTGATTCAGCTGTTACTGCAGAGAATGCCGTTAAATCGGGGGGCGAGGTTTCGGGGGGAAATGCGGTTGGGGAAGGGAAAGAAGGCAAAAAAGAACGATGCGGAGTGTGCGTGGGGAGGTGTGGGGGAATGGGGGGGGGGAGGGGGGAGGCGGAGAGAGGAGAAGGGTGGAGGTGGAATGAGTGAGGATTGGTGTCGGAGTCGGAGGGAAAGGGGGAAATGGTGATGCTGATGCTGTTGAGCTTGCCAATGAAGGTGGAGGGGGAGGGGAGGGCGGGGAGGAGGGGGGTGGGGGGGGGGGGGAGAGATTTTTTAGACGACTGAAAAATCTCAAAGGGGGAACTGGTGATGCTGATGCTGCTGAGCTTGCCAATCAAGGTGAGGGGGGGGAGTGGGTGGGGGAGAGTCTGGAGGACAAAAGCACAGTGCGTATCTCCGCTAAACACACTGCACGTTATGCATTGTAACATTATGCATCGTACATTGAGAGTTGCACATTTGAGTTACATGTTCCGCATAACCCATTACAAGTGAGATCAGCAGTGGTTTGGGAGAGCATACCTTGTTGGTTTGGGAGAGCATACCTTGTTGGTTTGGGAGAGCATACCTTGTTGGTTTGGGAGAGCATAACTTGTTGGTTTGGGAGAGCATAACTTGTTGGTTTGGGAGAGCATGCCTTGTTGGTTTGGGAGAGCATGCCTTGTTGGTTTGGGAGAGCATGCCTTGTTGGTTTGGGAGAGCATACCTTGTTGGTTTGGGAGAGCATACCTTGTTGGTTTGGGAGAGCATAACTTGTTGGTTTGGGAGAGCATAACTTGTTGGTTTGGGAGAGCATGCCTTGTTGGTTTGGGAGAGCATACCTTGTTGGTTTGGGAGAGCATACCTTGTTGGTTTGGTCATCTGGGTAGAACGTGCTGCTGCCACGCGCATGTTTGCTCCTGGTGACACACCCCCCTCCCCGCCTCGAACACGCACACTCTCTCACCAACTCACCTTGTTGGTGGGGTCATCAGGGTAGAACGTGCTGCTGCCAAGCGCACTCTTGCTCCTAACAACACACTGGGAGGCAGAGGTGCACCACGCCCCTCCCGGCAGGTAGATGTGCCACATGCTCTTGCCGGCCCCCGTGCCCGGGCGGAAATAGTACCCTGGGGGGCTGGGAAAAAGGGAGGACAGGTGCACGGAGAATTGGAGCAATGTACGAATGAATGCTCTTGCCGGCCCCCATGCCCGGGCGGAAATAGTACCCCGGGGGGCTGGGAGGAAAGGAGGGGTGTGTTGGGGGGGTGGGAAGGGGGAAGAAGGGGGGTTGCATGGCGAGCATTTGTAGGGCCCTTATTAAGACGCTTTTGCCGCCCCCCGTGCACGCCGGAACTAGTACTCGAGGGGGCTGAGAGGCGGAGAGAAGGTGCTACTCGCCAGCATTCTGAGACCCGGCTATTCAACATTCGCCACAACGTGTGTTTAGAGTCGACTCACAGCACCCCATGCCCCGGAAATAGTGCCCTGGGGAGCTGAGAGAAGGTGTTGCTCGCCAGCATTCTGAGTCTCGGCTATTCACCATTCGCCACAACCCCGCTTCCTTCTCTTCCCCCTCTTCCCCCCCTCCTCTTCCCCCCCCTCCTCTTCCCCCCCCTCCTCTTCCCCCCCCTCCTCTTCCCCCCCCTCCTCTTCCCCCCCCTCCTCTTCCCCCCCCTCCTCTTCCCCCCCCTCCTCTTCCCCCCCTCCTCTTCCCCCCCTCCTCTTCCCCCCCCTCCTCTTCCCCCCCTCCTCTTCCCCCCCCTCCTCTTCCCCCCCCTCCTCTTTCCCCCCCTCCTCTTCCCCCCCCTCTTCCCCCCTTCCCCCCTTCCCCCCTTCCCCTCTTCCCCTCTTTCCTAGCCTACCTCCCGCCCAGGCATATCCCCACGAACGAGTTACCGCGGCTCGCCAGCACAACCAGCCTCAGCGATTCAGCCTTCGCCACAGCCCCGCTTCCCCACTCTTCCCCTCTTCCCTCGCTCACCTGCCGTCGAGGCATTTCGCGTCGAAGGAGTTATCTGGCAGTAGAACGAGCCGCGGCTTGGCCGGCGGCGTCGGCCGCGGGGGCGGATTTCCCGCGAGCAGCGACAGCAGGTATTGGAGGAACATCCATACGCCTCTTAAGTCGATCTTCCAGCCCGCTTTAGTACCAGCAGTCACTCCACCGTTGGCTTTAAGCGGCGGCAACCTAGTGTGGGTATTAAAGCCGCGACTAAACCGACTAAAAGCGGTTCCGTTACTCGGTTTAAAACGTGCTCGAAACTCCGCCACTGTACCCATCATGTTTGATGGCTACGCTTGTGAGTATGAGGGAGGGGCTTTGACATTGAATGCTGGCTCAACTTGAAAGGTGGCTCCACTGTAAAGCCTCGGGTCATCAAACTTTGGCCGCTGTGTTTTGTTTTTGAGAATTCTAACAAACAAGACGCATGCAGCCTATCGTTGTAGCCGGGCCGGTGTCAAGAGCATAATTCTGAGGCACCTCAAAGTGACACTGAGTGGTGGTGCCTTCGGCCGCTGCAGCATTAGCCTATCGTTTTAGCAGGCCGGTGCCGATACTAAAGCAGAGCATTAGTATGGCTCCTGGGGCCTAAGCTTTATGAGTTGTGAAGCCTATTTCCTTAGCTTGCGCGCGAAGCGTGCGAGCTTGCAAATAGTACCAGTACGAGCTGATCCCCAACCAAGCAGGTTTGGCGGTACCCTAGGCACTAGGTTTGTCAAAGAAAGATATCTGACGGCGCATGATCTAACATGGGAGGGCTCCACCCGCCATGGAAATTCTTGCCACCGTTGCCGAGAATCCTTGCCTCAAGAGTGGATCCTTCCTAAGAGAGCGACGGAAATACGTTTAGTGCGGTATAGTACGGTTCATGAAGTTGAAAACAGGTTGTACCGCTCTACCGCCGTTGAACGTGGGTCACCGAAGCAAACCGAGGAAGCGAGAAAAGAACACCGCGTCGGCGACCAGAACCAGACCTATCTCAAAGGACGTTTGGGTGACCGAATAATACCTAGTCAGCTCAGTCACGCGGTGCTTTATGGTGCTACTCGTTGAAGAACGGTTTCCCCGTTTCACTGAGCTTGACCCTGAACCACCCAACCAGACGGTAGGAAACGTACAAAAGACATTATTTTCGGTCAAGCTAAAAAGAAAGCATCGCCCAGAAGTCGCCTCTTCGAGAAGGGGATGGAGAATCGAGAGAGAACCAATCGAACGAAAATGCATATTCACCCGCCGCGACTCCACCGTTTTCGACGTGGGCTGCGCATCGGCTATGGAAATGAATGTATGCTTTTAGCGTAACTCGCTAACAATCGGAAGGAACACAGTATCTGTATTACTAGCACTCCTATGTCAACCAGCAGCCATGGACAACGTTTTTTGCTAATTGCTTGTTTCCTCCTATAGATAGTTTCCCTCAACTTCTTTACCACGGAGGCCTTACATATGCACAAATCTATTGGTTACATTGTTTGCAAGCCACCGTACTATCAAGGACTCCACCGACGTTCCCCGGATCCATGCTTTAGTCCAGGTGCTGTAACATAGCGTAACATGTGCCATTCCTGATGGAATGAACGCAACCACAGAACCTACACTTCTGATAGTGCTCTCCAGCTCGTCATAAAGAACAGAAGCCGCTACGAACAATGCATCTCTCTCACCCGCCGTACAGTAATTTGTCTTCCACAGTATCCTGCTCCACTCCTTGCTTTTTATAATCCCTGTAGATGTCCATGAAACTTCTTGTAAACATGGATAAGTGTACGAATCGTTTCGTGGTAACAGCCCGCCGAGCGTGCTCGCCGTACAGTCGAAGAGTGTATGGAATACAAATATGGGGGTTTTAACGCTCCGCAGGGTGTATTGTGGAAAAAAGCACTTCCAGTGGTCTGTATCTGGCAGGGCTGGGATGAAGAATTGGGAGTGAGGAGGGATTTTAGGAAGGAGAAGTGGGTATGGTGGGGGGGGTAGCAACAACGCAGGGAGGGTAAGTGTGGGAAAGGAGAGGTGGAATTAAGGAAGGTGGGGAAATAATGTCGGAGGAAATAATGCATAGAGTGAGGGAGTATTAGCGGTGCAGAGAGGGAATACTAGGGGTGAAGTGAAGTGACTTGAGGGAAGGCGAGAAAGTATAGTAGAGGAAAGAACAGTTTTTAGTGCCTTTTTGAATCGACTCAACACACTTGGGAGGGAGTGGTTAAGTGAAATGACTTGAGACGAGAACGTGTTGTAGAGGGAAGAGAGGAGAACACAGATGGAGGGATGACAGTGAGTCAAATAGAAGCCCTGTTGTTAAAATAAAACACTAATAAAATTGGGAGGGAGTGGTTAAGTGAAATGGGCATCTCACCATCCATGCAGGCCAGCCAGCTCGGCTTGTGCAGCGCAATCAGGCTCTTTGCTGTGTCGCGCCACGTGCTCCCGCCAGCACTGTCCTTGGAGTCTGGAAGGGGAAGGGGGGGGAGACGGGGGTCTTGGCTTGGCTTGGGATCGGCCTGTGCAGAACAACCAGGCCTTGCACTTTGCTGTGTCACGCCACGTGTTCCCTCCAGCACTGTCTTTGGAGTCTCTGGAGGGGGGAAGGGGGGGGGGGGAGGCGGGGGAGGGGGTTCTTGGCTTGGCTTGGATCGGCCTGTGCAGAGCAACCAGGGTTTTTGCTCTTTGCTGTGTCGCGCCACGTGCACCCACCAAAACTGTCCTTGGAGTCTGGAGAATCAGACAGGGGGGGGAGGAGGGGGAAGGGTTGGTGTTTGAGCCACGTGTACCCGCCAGCTGTATCCTTAGAGTCTGGGGAGGGGTAGTGGGGGGGAGAGGGGATAGGGGACAGGCGGGTGTTTGCGCTACGTGCACCTGATTGCTGCGTCCTTGGAGTCAGAAAGGGGTGGTGATGCTGAGGCGCCTGGAAAACACACGTCCGTGGAGTGGAGTCCGGAGCAGGTAGAGTTCTGAGGCGCCTCAAACACGTCCGTGGAGTTGGGAACGGGTTGTGGGTGGGAGGTGCGTGTGAGCAACAACAGTCAAATAGAATAGCCTCACCGGTAAAGAATCCCGAGTTAACAACACACCAGCTAGTTGATTGTTGTTCCTCAGATATCAGCCAGCTCACCGGTTAGCAAGCCAGAGTCAGCAACGTACTTGGTTGCCTCCCAGGGATGGCACCCGCAATGCGATCGCAGAGAGCACAGGCAGTTTTTACCTTAAAAAAGGCCCGAGTCAGCAATGCACTTGGCTGGCGCCCAGGGGAAGGCACCCAAAAAGGCACTGGCAAAGCGATGGTAGAGAGATATGAAGGTGGCACACACCTACGAAGAAGCCCGAGTCAGCAATGCACTTGGTGGCCGCCCAGGGGAGGGCACCGGCGATGCGATCGCAGAGAGATATGACAGCCTGGCCGCCCGCTGAGCTGCCCGAGAGGAGGATCTGCGCTGCAGATTTGATCCCGCGATTCGCCTTCAGATCTGGCCGGCGTTTGGGTGGGGGGTCAAAAAGAGGGACCGGGAAGGGACAGAGGGAGCACGGTTCACGGATATCACGGCTTCAACGATGTTCCACCCATCCAGATACAGCACAGTTCATTGCAGACCTCCAATATCCCTACTGTGCCGTACAATCTTTGCACCACTCACTGCCATCCCAACACGCACCCTCAAACACGGCTTGAACGATGTTCCACCCATCCAGATACAGCACAGTGTCGTTGTGGACCTCAAGCCTCCCCGCCGTGCCCGAGTACCCCGCCCCGTCGCAGTAGATGAGGCGAACGAGGTTCCAGTTGTAAAAGGGCGGGTTGGCGGTGCTGTTGCTGCTGAGAATGCCATTGAAGTTGGGGGAGAGTGTCTGTGGGGGATAGAGAGGGGTAGAAGGGAGTGGAAGTCGATGGGCGGGTTGGTGCTGCTGTTGCTGCTGAGAATGCTGGTGAAATTGGGGGAGAGGGTCTGTGAGGGATAGGCCAGAGGGGGTGGGTGGGATTACGAAGGGAGGAAGAGGGGGGGGAGGAGAGGAGGATGAGATGGTAGGGGCTGAAGTAAAAGGATGCTGCTGTTGCTGCTGACAATACCGTCAAGAGGGGAGGCACTGGAAGGGATGGAAAGGGGAAGAAGGGAAGGAAATACTGCTTGGGAGAGCGTACCGCGTTGGTTGGGTCGTCACGGTAGAACGTGCTGCTCCCAAGCGACGTGTGGCTCCCAGTGGCGCACTGGGCGGCGGAGACGCACCACCCCCACACACAGAAACCAAGACGCATACACACAGAGCAACTTACCGCGTTGGTGGGGTCGTCCGGGTAGAACGTGCTACTCCCAAGCGCCGTGCGGCTCCTGGTGGCGCACTGCGCGGCAGTGAGGCACCACCCTCCGTGCGGCAAATAGATGTGCCACATGTGCTTGCCGCCCCCCGTGCCCGGGCGAAAGTAGTACCCTGGAGGGCTGGGGATGGGGCGGAAGGTAAGGGGAGTGTCGTATAAGGGGGCAGAGGCGTACCACCCCCCCCTCTCCCCCCCCCCCCGGCAGATAGATAGATGTGCCCCATGTGCTTGCCGCCCCCCGTGCCCGGGCGAAAGTAGTACCCCGGGGGGCTGGGGAGAAGGGGGAGAGAGAGGGAGGATAAAAAAACAGGGAATATGCGCTTCTTTCCTTGTTCCAAACAAATTGGATATAGCATTCCCCATGCATTCCCCATGCATCCCCCATGCATCTCCCATGCATTCCCCATGCATTCCCCATGCATTCCCCATGCATTCCCCATGCATTCCCCATGCATTCCCCATGCATCCCCCATTCCCCAAACGCCTTGCTCACCCACCCGCTACGCGCATCCCCAGCCCTCACCCACCGGCCTGTTTTTAAGGCCCCTAAAAATCCCCAGCCCTCCCCAGCCATCCTCAGCACTCCCCAGCCCTCCCCACCGGCATATTTTGCCATCCAGACCGAATTTTGTGTCGAAGGAGTTACTTATCGCCAGCACATTCAGACTCGGTTTCTCCAGCACTCCCCACAACCCCATTTCCCCTCTATCCCATATCCTACCTCCCGTCGAGGCATTTCGCATCAAATGAGTTATTCGCCAGCAGAACGAGCCGCGGCGTGGCCGGCGGCTCCGGCGGCGGCGGCAGAGGGGGCTGCTTTTTCGAGACCAGCGAGCGCAGGTACTGGTAGAACGCGCCGACGCCGCTAAAGTCGATCTTCAAACCAGATTTTTTATGAGCATTAGTAGTGACAGTCCCTCCATTGGGCGGTTTAGACGGCAAACCATGGAGCGCTTTGAGTACACGACTGTACCTGGTAAAAGCGGTTCCGTTATTCGTTTTAATACCGGCTCGAAACTCGGTCACTGTACTCATCATCTTAGGCTGTGAGTTAGTAGCAGTAGCAGTGGCTGCGAGAGGAAACAAACCATACCAAAAGCAGAAGATTATAAAGAGCCTAATTTTCATGTTTGAAACACACGCCGAGCCGCACCGATGCAGTTAACGTTGAGGATTAGTATGAGTCCTAAAGCCTAGGTCGCTTCCTTGGAAAAAAACATGAGTCTGATTCCAGCATTCCCTAAAGCTTTCGTCTGAAGCGCCGCCGCAAACTAGACAACTCCAGGCGAGTTGCAACCGAGAATCGCAGGCAGTAAATGTCACTAGCAGGACCTTTCTCGGATACGGAAATAGTAAAAGAGAAATATCTGACGGGGCATGTTCTAACTGCACACGAGGTACTGAGAACGTGGGTGAGTTCAAGTCCAGCCAAAAGCGATTGAAGGAAGGAAACGCTTGACTTAGCCGCCATAAATTGCCGATCTGCTGAAACTGTAAGCGCCACACCCAATCCAGCTGTCAGACGTGGGGTTGGGGAGGGGGAAGGGAAATCAACGTGCCTTGTGCCTTTCTTGTACACCTACGACGCAAAACACGGTACCCCTTTGGACCGTGAGAAAACCACTTTGACCGTAGGAAACGTACGTGGCGCGCACGCTTCGGTTACCCCCTAACCTAGATTGGCGCCTCGGGAGGTGGGTTCGGAATTTGGAATTTCGGAGCAGAATTGCGAATTCAGCCCGCGATTCCGCAGTTTCTGATGTGGTTTGCATTTCGTGAGAATAAAGTGGGCCTGCCTTGAGAATAACTCGCTAACATACAAGAAGGGCTATAAAACCAGAGCAGCTATATGAGCAACAAATGCCCTATAAACGGCATGCCACAAGAAATCAAACTAGTGAGCACCATGAAGAGGCACGTTTCTGTTGCACAATCCAAGCTCGTTTACGTTATATAAGACGGATGCATTGGTACAGAAACTTACTACCAATGCTCATTTACATGTGTATAAATCTGACAGATAAGTCATCAGCAAACCACTGCACAATCGCCATTTCTAGTGACACCCCCTGGACCCATGGCCCTGTCCATGTATTCATAAATAACGCCCCATGTCCCACTGCAGTCGGAGCAAATGCAGTAACAGCACCCACACTTCCAATTGCCCTTTCTAGCTCCTCAAATAGTATCGAAGCAGTTGTAAAGAGGGCACTTCTCTCCATAGGAGTGCAGAAATTCGTCCTCCATGTAATCTTGCTCCATTCTTTCCTTTGGACCACCCCAGTAACGTTCTTGCTCGTCCACGCAACCTCGCGCAAGCACTCGAAAGCATAGGTGTTGTTCCAAGGTAGCAAGCCGCCGATTCGAGACGCTACTGAATCGAAGAGAGTGTGGACGATGAATATCGGCGACGTGATGCTTGAAAGGGTGTATTGAGGAAAGAAGCATTTCCACTGGTCACTCTCTGGAAGACCTGGAGGCGGGAGAGTGTGTGTGTGGCAAGAGTGGGGAGGGCAAGTGTGGAGAGGAACACTGGTGTGGTGATGCTGGATGTAATGAGTCGATTTTTTAGTCGACTAAAAAATCGATTCATTACACAAGTGTGGGAGAGGAACACCGGTGTGGTGATGCTGGAAAGGGTGTTCTGGGGAACGAAGCACTTCCAGCGCTCACTCTCTGGGAGACCACAAGGCAGGAAGAAGTGTGAAGAGAGCAGATGGGAGTGCAGGGGATGGTAGGAAAGCAGAGGTGAGCGGAGAAGAGGGCGGGGCACCGGCAAAAGCAGGGAGTCTATTTTTGAGGCGCCTCAAGGATGAATGCACGTGTGGCACCGGCAAAAGCAGGGAGAGCCCACCATCCATGCATACATGCATGCATGTCCACTTTGGCCGGTGCAGGTCAGCCACGCTCTTAGCCACGCCCTGCCACGTGAAGCCACATGCAAGTGCCAGGATAAGGGCAGCAAGGAGAGGAAGAGCAGAGGGAGCGAGGGCGTACCC